TAATCGCAACGTTACAAGCAATGGAGTAGGTTTTCAAGTATAGTAAAACATTGCGTAGTCGCTAGGGCAGGGCGTAGCTCAGAGTTCTCGCTAGTCATGTGGCGGGCCCCTGGTTCAAATCTATGCCACTCACTATACTTTAATTCCATTAATTAAACTTTTCCATGTTTTTACATTAAAATAACAGCTCTAATCAACATCAAATTTTTTTTATTACTTTGAATAACAAATTCCGAATACCAAAATGGATTAAAAGTAATGTTTTTATGATAAGCAGTTCAGTTCACCGCCAAAAAATCAAATATAGGCCTACAAAATTGTTAGTATATCACAGGGTTTCAGCTATTTATGGAAGCAAATAACAAGCACCTCAATAAATAAATACAATGCAACTCCTCTTTAAAATTGTCTTACTATTATTTCCTATTAAAATGTCTTTAAATAAAACCGAGACCCTTGGGTGTAAAATAATCTGATTAATGTTGCAATGTTGGATACATTTGTTACATATTTGTATGCACTACGGTATGCGGTTTTAATATGGTTTCTCTCAAAGCTTAAAAATAATTTCTCTGTGATGGCTAAATAGTAACCATGAAATTTAACTCAAGTGTAAAATTAGACTAAAATTGATAACTTATAATTATAATTAATTCTAATAGGGCGATTGTATAGACATTACAAAATTCTATTTCTCTCATTTTGTACTACGCCACATCAATTGATTGTAATTTATATCTAATAATTATCATTTTAGCACTCACAGATATATTTTTATTTTAAATTGCAAACTTGAGCCAATTTGCACTTGCAAAAAGAACTTAATAATTCATTTTTTTAATGATGTGAGTAATGAAATAAATCTCTTTTCAAAAATACTAGTCTACTTCAAATAATACGGGTGAAGAGAGGTTGGTAGAAAATAGCAAGTATTTACTAGTGTAATTTACAAGAGTAAAACTTTATGAAACACATTGCTATCTACACTAGTAAAAACCACTAGTAATACTAGTCCCTACACTAGTAATTAGTATTTTACACTAGTAGGTTTTTGAAACGTAGACTTGTAAAATACACTAGTATTACTAGTCCATGGACTAGTAAATACTAGACTAGTAGTTTTATGAAACAGGGCCCTGGAGTTGCAACTTTAGTTTTAATTTAAATATATTTAGATATTATTGATGATTATTATCGATATTATTGATATTATTTGATGTTATTGACTGTATATATTTATGTTGACCATGCCCATCTCATGTAAAAATGATCAACGGCAATAAATATCTTATGTCTTATGTCTTATATTCAAAATTAGCCTAATTAATAAAATAGTGACAACAATATGGTTAAAATTCAACAAAAGGTAATGGAATTAAAAGACAAACAAAAAAGTCTGACGAAATACGAATTATTGGCCTAGCACTGAAAGAGTTAAATGAAAAAAAACTTAAAAACTCTTTATTGAAGGACATAAAGACAGGGGTTGGTGGAGTATAACCAATCCAAACAGAAAATTTGGCTAGTAAAAAATTATATCTGTATCCAGATTTGATATTTAAGGTGTTGGTATTGAGATTGATAAATCATGGTAGCGATATATCATTAACAATAATTGTCATTTAGCATAATTTTTAAACTTGCTGACAATGAATAACCCGAAATATTAATTTTATGGGTATTAGTCCAGTGCAATTAGACAAAAAATGACCTTGACCTGGACAAAATTGATAACAGGCTGAAAATTGGTAGAAACGTTCAGAACAATGTCCTGAGTGGCCCACACAAAGTCCCAAGAAATCCCAGTTGGGGAACGGCCGCCATCTTGGAAAAACTGCCGCCATCTTGAAAATTTAGATTTTTTGCTGTATCTTTTGAAGTAATAGTCCGAAAGGCAATATTTATGTCTCAAATTAAGCGTTTTGAATTCATGTATGAGGGTAGTATATAATTAAAGAGTTTAATACGTTCTAAGCATAAAGATTATTTATATTAACCCATAATATATCTATAATAATGATATAAATTTACAAAATATTTACAAAATGATTTTTTTTCTCTTTTGTTCTTAATGGACTTGTTAAAGCCATTAACCCCTCTGATATTTGTTGCAATTCACAATGTTTAGTCTTTGGAATTGGTTAAATACCGGGTGAATAAAAAGTCAAGACCCCCCTCTAATATTTTGCTAAGGAAATATAGCCTACAGAAATATCCTTTTGGTGGTCTTGGAATCTTAGTAGGAAGTTTCATTTGATGGTTTTGAAATTTTGAGTGTCCCCCAAAAAGGGGGATTTTTGGGGGCAACTCAAAAATTTTAAACTAAATCCTATTCAAGTGACACCTCATCCTGTAGTGTTTACAAAAACTTAAAGAATGGTGAAAACCAGAGTTCGCTATATCTTCTCTGTCCAAAATGGTAGCCCGTCAAAAGTTTAATGACGATACTGTTACATTATTTTTCTTGTGTAATAAAACGTAATCCCCCCCCTTCTTATTTGTTCCTAAATAAATATTACAGAGTAATCCTTTTGGTGGTGATACAACCTTAGCAGGAAGTTTCATTTTATGATTTTAAAATCTTTGAGTATTCTCCTCTGTCCAAAATGGAAGCCAATATTACAATTACAAACCAATATTACCATTGATTTTCCATAACGTTTGACGGGCAACCATTTTTGATAAAGATGAAAAAGCAAACTCTGGTTTTCACCATTCATAAAGTCTTTGTAAACACATAAAAATTAGATTCCACTTGAAGGGGGTTTACGTTTAAAATTTTTGAATTGTTCCAAAATCCCCCCTTTTTGGGGAACATTTAAAAATTTAAAAATCATAAAATGAAACTCCCTGCTAAGATTGGATGACCGCCAAAAAGGATATCTCTGTATATTCACTTAGAAAATATTAGAGAAGGGGGGTATTGACTTTTTATTCACCTAAATGCTGTAATTTGTTATTTATTTATTTATTCCAACGGCAAGATCACCAATTTACAATGTGGATTCAAGAAGCCTAAGTGAACAGGCATTTTACAGAACACTTAACTAACTTAAATCTATGGCAAGAGCAGAGCAACATCGGTAATATACATCAGGACAGGAAATATAATCTTGACTAGAAAAGCAACAATTTAACAATGAAGTACAAAATAAATTATGAAAAAGCAATTAATAATTTTGTTCGTTCTGATCTGAAAAATAGAGTCATCTAGATATAGTTGCAATAATTGATTAACATTATATTTCAATATTGCATATAAAATTATAATGTAACTACGGTTGGCACATCCGTTTCCAGTGCAGTATCCATGCATCGTGGTACAATTAAGACCATAGGGGCGTTGTACTGTATCCATGTATCAATTTCAACGTGGACTTGGTTTGTCATTCAGTTGGTGGTTAATGAGCCATAGGGTGTCAGCAAGACAAGCATCTACAACTATTTTTGGTTCGGAAATGGCTGTACTGACATCTCCCAACACTACTAAAGATCTCCCAGGCTTAAGCGGATGTGTCACTGGCTGAAAGCCATGGGATAGAAGGACACTTTTTGCTTTTGGGATTGTAGATCGTGGTACAGGAGCACTTTCATTGACACATTTCGGCTGGTGTTATGCACTCAATGCCACCCATGGCGTGAAGAGTACCATGTCCATCAAGTGTTTTAATGCTGTAATCCGCGTTGTCGAAAACATAATGAACGTAAGCTCCATCATCTATTGAAGGTGATACATTATCAACTATCGAAGTCTCATAATTGACAACCTTCTTGTATGTCGAGCAAACTCCGAGCTACGATAGAATGTCTAACGGCAACTTTGAGCCATACCGTCCGTGAAGGTTGGGGAGCAGGGGCGATGTGAAAGATCGTGGTCGAGCTGCAGCAATAATTGCATGAGCTGTATTAGTTGTCTCCTCTTTAAAGCTTTATCATAGTTAAATAGATATTATATCTATATTTAACCAATTCCAAAGACTAAGCATTGTGGGGTGCAAGAAAATTCAATAGGGTTAATGGCTTAAACAAGTCAATTACGAAAAAAGAGAAAAAGCTTATTTTGAAAATATTTTGTATATTTATATCATTATTATTTTATATGGGGACGCCACTATGTGCATATTTTAACCAAATATGAGTGAAGGATGAGTGGCGCGATCTTGTAGTCTTGTTAGTGACTAAGGCCGACATGTGTTCCTTAGACACAGATGTTAATTAATAGCCCATGCAGCTAATGGCAACTAAGGGACCTACCATTTATAGTGGAATCCGAACCACATTTTTTTCTTTTAATTAACGAATTGGTCTAATTATCAGGATAGTACTGCGGATAGTCATAGTACTCACTAGTGCGGACGTTACCACACCAGAGAGCATCGCATCCACCTTGCATGCCTATAAATACCCACAATTCGTATAAAAGGGGGGACATAACCATATCTATATCATTATTATAAATATTTTTGAGGTTAATATAAACAATATTTATGCTTAGAACATAATAAACTCTTTAATTATATATTACCCTAATACATGAGGCCAAAACTTTTAATTTGAGACATCAATAAGGTCTTTCGGACAATTACTTCAAAAGATACAGCAAGAAATCTAAATTTCCAAGATGGCGGCAGTTTTTTCAAAATGGCGGCCGTTCCCCAACTGGGATTTCTTGGGACTTTGTGTGGGCCACTCAGGACATTGTTTTGAACATTTCCACCAATTTTCAGCCTGTTATCAATTTTGTCCGGGTCATAACCTAATTGCACTGGACTATATTGAGAATGAAGAATCAATATGTTTGGATATCAGTGCTGATAACCAAAGCAGATAAATTTTTGTTCTTACCTATTGTCACTAATTTTATGATTACCAGAACATCATAAACTAATACAAGTTAACTAGTAAAGTTGTTTTTATTATTTATTTTTACAATTTAATACAATTTGTCTTTCTGTTATCTTACACACACTTTTTCAATAACAATGTTTTTTTTTTTTCAGTTCCAATAATTGTGGCCATCAACAAAATAGACAAGCCAGGAGCAGATATAGTAGGTAAACATTTTTTTATTTAGTAGTGTACAGTATCAATTTTTTTAAATATTTTTGTGCAAATATTAAAAATACCCTGCCGCAGCAAACCTGCAGAATAAGCAAATTTCCTATTCCCTGATTGGATTTACACTAAAATGTCTGCTTAAAAATATCACATTTATTCCCTATTTAAATAGAATTAGTTTAACAAGTACTTAGGTTTGCTGCAACAGGGAGGGTAAAAGGTTTTTTTTATGTTAATAGTTTAGTGAGAAATAAATGCATTTTCCAAATTATATCAAAATATGTTCATAATCAAGCAAACTATAACAGTTTACTTATTCTTCATTAGAATAACACAGGTATTTTAAATTTACAATTTTTTTGAATTTTCTCCTTAACCATTAGCTGCATAATAACGTTTCAATATACTAAATTGTTTGTTATTTTAAGCTCTACAAATTTGTTTGGAAAGAAATTGTTAAAATGTATGTCTTTTGTGTCAAAAATGGGAAAAAACCATTTTTACCCTATAAAACTCTTGATAAATCCCCGTTCCCATAGTCCGATCATGCTAGTACGCGAATTTGTTTGAATAAATGTAAGTTTACACAACATTTCATCAAAATCAGATTAATTTTGCTTAAGTTATCGTGCTAACGGACACATTTATATATATATTTTATATATTCAGGGTGGTAATAAAGTCCGAAGACAGTTAAATATTTTCTAAACGACAACAGATAAATAAATAAGATTTGGTACATCAACACCACACCTAAAAATCTACTTTTTTAGGAAATATCAGTTTTCTGTCATATCATGGGGAGTCCTGCAAGGAGTCAGAAGGAAATCTTAAATAGAAGCATAGGTTGATACGTACACCAAATTAAAGGTCTTTACTAGCAGAATATAATGCCGCAAATTTGAACTTAAACGGACAACCGAGCCAAGAATGACAGTTGTTTAAAGATTAATTCAATTTGCATTGCTATTATACGCTTACTCCTTAGGGGGGCACAGCCCTAGGAATCGGAAGAAAATTGCTAACGTAAGCATAGGTCGATATGCACATCAAATTAAAGGTCTTCACTAGTAGATTACAATGCCGTAAATTCAAGCTCAAAAGAACGCCTTAGTAAAAAATGGCAGTCGTTCAAAGATTCAAAATGGCAGATTCAAGAAATCTTTGAACGGCTGCCATTTTGCGCAGGATCAACCTTTTGAAGTGCGGTTTGCGGCATTGTATTCTATTCTACTAAAAAAGACCTTTTATTTGATGTGCATATTGACCTATGCTTCCATTTAAGATTTTCTTCCGACTCCTTGTGGGCCGTCCCCCTGAAGAGCTATTGGATCACTGAATATGTGTTAAAATACTTAAAATACAGTTTTATGCTCTGTAACTTTGTACCAAGTATTGTAGCTCTATCTACATTATTTTTTTAAATATTTAACTGTCTTCAGACTTTATTACCACCCTGTATATGAATTTGAACGGATAGTGTTTTGGCCTCTAGGGACCTCAACACGAAAAAGTAAATCGGTCCCGGGTCCAAGTCTTACCATGAGTACTACGGTAATAGTTCATTCCCTACACGGGAAATTCGCTAAAACGATAATAAAAATTCAATTATTTTCAAATTGAAATATCAATTCAGTAATAATAATAATTCAATTATAAATTTAAATGATGCAAAACAACTATGGTGAGTTTTTTCTGACTTTCTAGTTAGTGACCAGGTTTCTAAACTTGTTAAGAGTGGATTGTGCCTAATTACTTGGTGGCATACATTTATTTTATACTTTGTGATAATTCTTAACTTAAGCCTAAAATATTAACTCCAAATTTACAATACAAAAACTTAATTTTATTCAATGAAGATACAAAATTAATAATGAAAAAAATAAAAGGTATTTACAATCACGGTTTACAGTGTGGGGAGTAAAATTTACTTGAAGTTACTTAAAGCTTTAGGCTAATACAATGTTCTCAATGTAAATGTTCCACGAATTTATAGGAGTCAACTCTTGTATCCCTGCGACACGGTTTGAGACAAATGTGTTCAGTTTATATGGGGGTGTACTTATCCACGCTAGGATGATGGTTGAATGACTCCAATTTTGAATAAATTCTATTTGGCAGTTTGAAGAGTAAATATTTATACAGTAGTTAATTAGTTTTGCAAGTAAAAACGAGGAAGGGAGACTGATTTCAAAGGAGCAAGGCGAGTCTTAGAGATAATGTTTCGGATGATAACTTTATCATCAGCAGTCGCTGTACGAAGAAATACAATAGCAGCATAACCACGAAGAGAAGCATCTGCAAATCCATGAAGCTAAATTGAACAGCCTGATGTAAGCTCTAACTTCTTGGAATTAGGATAGTTGAAACGTCAGACAATTCTTCAAGAAAACTCATCCAGGACTCAGTCAATTCTAGGGGTAAGGGGTCATCCCAATTCAAATTCTGTGTCCAAAGGTATTGCATAAAACATTTAGGTTTCATAGTTACTGGTGTTAAAAAACCTACTGGGTCATAGATTTGGGTAATGATTCTCAACACTTTTCGTTTAGTATGTGGAATTATTGTACATGGCTCTGAAATGTTGAAATTGTAAGCACATTTATCTGTAATAGATGACCAATGAAGACCTAGAATACTGAAATGGGCTTGTTGTGTTGCATCATGGAAGAACATAGGAGTTTCCAGATGTTCTTGAGTCATATCATTAAGAAGCTTCTGTGAATTGGAGGTGCATTTTCTTAATTCAAATCCACCTTTCTTCAAAAGTTCAATCAATTGATTACACAGCTCCAAGGCTTCATCTTTGGAATCATGTGGAGGGCATACAATCATCCATGTAAGTTTGATGTAAAAGGACATGTATTGTGGATGGGTACGGGTCACCTTCACCAGCTACGAGCTGATTCAGAGTGCTAATGGCTAGAAACGGTGAACAATTCATGCCGTATGTGACAGTGGTTAATTTAAAAACTGAGAGTGGATCTTGATTATTTATTTTTGAGACATGACCTTGACAAGAGTTGTAGCTAGAAGTACTGTGGAGTTGCATTCGGAGAATTGATCACTTTGGTAAACCATGGATGTCGCACTTTTTAACCACACCCTCGCACCTGCACCTAGACAAACAACCTGGAAGCGTAATTCCATGCGCAGGGACGAGGAGTAGCTCACAAAACTACCAAACAACCAGAAAAACTGTGGAGGAAGGTTAAAAAACAACGCACCATTTGATAGAGACGAGCTGTAATCTATATAATTAATACGCTACATGAAACTTTGTCGGTTGAACTCCTCCGCCATTTCTTAACCGATTTTATCCATTGACGTCTCATTGGAAAGAGCGTGTCGCGTAGATTTGCAAACTGGCCTTACATTTTTGAAAAAGTCCCTTGGGCTCTGCCCCAGTGGCTTTGAAAGTTCCCATGTTATCCTTATGAAGAACATAATTGTTTACATTTTGATCAGCTGTATAATTTAACTGCTGTTATTTATTTTTCAATTCAATGTAACACATTGAGTACGTTTATTTACTATTTGAGTTTGTTTAAACATAACCCCCAAGACGGATCGTGTTAGTATGGTTTTATCTTAAATTTGTGTATTTATCGTTGTTTTGTGTCGCTATGACGGATCGTGTTAGCATGATTGTAACTTAAATTTGTGCATTTATCGTTGTTTTGTGTAGCTATAATTTGTTTATTTTTTTTCTTCTTTTAAATGCCTCCGACGCGACGACAACGAAACAGACAGTAGGCGTGTGAAAAACAATCCCAGGCTCGTGCCTAGCGTCCTAGGACAAAAAAAAAAAAAAAAAAAAAAAATCGTGATAACGACCGCAGCTACAGAACAGTGGCGCGTAATAGAAGGTTTAACTCATCACAGTCAGCACCTGACCCTGGACAATCTCAACTATTGGCTACAAATGCGCTCTAACACTACCCCAAAACGACTTTTCGTTCTCAATTGGCCCTCTGTCAATGACCTGTGTTGCCTGTACAGCGAGGTATTTTGAGAAGGAGAAAACCGGCCGGAATGATTTAGGTTTATCAATAACGAAGATAAACACGGTCTGAGTTACACACCGGTAATCTTGAGTTGACTCTTTTAAATTAATTGTAAATATGCCTGTTATTCGTTTTAAAATAAATCCTGTAACACTTTGCATTGCTCGAATTCGAGCAACATGTACACTCGTCTATATATTAATACGCAAGCAGTTTTCTTTTCACAGTCATAACTCGATAACGGCTTGACGGATTTTAACGTTTGAGGTGTCAAATTAAAGGTATTTTCATGTAGGTGTGCAAATACGTCTCAGAATATTAAGAAAGGGCATCACTTAAGTCCAGTTAAGGGCTAAAGTTTGGGAACGGTGGCGCTATCTGTTGACATTAGATCAAACTCAATTCCCTTTGTTTACAACTAAACATATGGACAACAGACTGTTTATTTGGTTTGCTTAAGATTAAACTTTCTAATTCTACCTCAGTAATTTCAGATAAATGTAACCTTGAGCTGCACGCTAGACCGATATCCGGCATAGTGGGGAATCCCGGCCCATACAATTCTCTAATCAGCTTATCTGGCATACCACTAAAATAGTTATTGAATGAGTCAGCAACTATTTTTTCATTACCCTCAACCTGTACTATTTTATCATCTATATTAATCGATGTTAGTTCATTTTTTGCCTTTTTGGTTAGGTTAATTAACATTTTTTTACTTTCTCATAATTGATTTGCATATATTCCAATAAGACTTTGAGTCACCCTTTACTGCTTCAATTTCAGATGAGTAATAATTAATTGTTTCCTGTCTTTTCAAATTAGAACATTCTCTAGAGAGTTCTTTATATCTATTAAACAAATGTATGTCATTGTGCGTTTTCAATCGAGAGTGAAGTCTGTTTTTTCATTTATCTTTTTAATTAGTGTCTCTGATATCCATGGAGTTCGATGCCTATTTTTACTGTTAATAGGCCTTAAAAAA